TTAGTATCTTCACAGATTAAGTGCAACCATCTCCACAGTCAGTTTTAGAACATTTTCATCACCTCAGAAAGAAACCCTATACCCTTTAGCTATCACTCCTCTATCTTCCCATGATCTCATCCCCTAAGCAACTAATACGTTTTCTGTCTCTACAGATTTCTCCATTCTGGAAATTTCATATGAATGGGACCATATACTATGTGGTCTTTTGTGACTGTCTTCTCTCACTTAGCATAATTTCAAGGTTCATCCATGTTATGGCATGTATCAGTGCTTCATTCTTTTCTATGGCGAAATAAAATTCCATTGTATGAATATGATGAGGGACCATAAGGCAAGCTGAGGGCAAAGCACAAGCCAGCACAACTCCCTCCCCAAGTGGGATATGTGTGATATTCCTCAGGCTCTCCAGGCTGCCCAAGAACAAAGGAAAGGACAGAAAGCAGATGGTTAAACTGTTAAGAATCTCCATCAGTTTACAACTATCTTAGTACAATTACAAAGAAAAAGGCAATCTTATCAATAGCCTAATCTCCAGAAACCTATAGACTCAGTTTCCTGGAGCCCCAACATCACCCTTCCTTCCAGAGTGATGTGGGGAACAAAGAAAAGAAGGAAATGGCAGATAAAATTGACTTTCCTTATACCCCGCAGCCCATTGACAAATATTTGAGGCAGGAAGAGTAGAACGCTTTTCCAGGAACTCCTTACTATCTTAACGTTAATGCTTTGCCAGAGGGAAAAACAACTTTAGCTTGACAACACCTAGGCCTCCAGTAATCCAGTCTTTAGCATATGGAAAATCCCTTTAAGAAACCTCCTCTTGATTTTATCTCCCCCAGCCCCATAGCATATGAGTCACTCTTCACAACCCCAGTACAGCTCTTTTGCCCATAGGTCGTGTCCCCATGCTTTAGTCTTCAAGACGTCTTCAAGAATTCTTTCTTGGCCATTGGCTCCGAACCCCACCATAACCCCAAAACCCCATCCAATATACCAGATGTTGTTTATTCATTTTTCAGTTGGACAAACTGGACATTTGAATTGTTTCTACCTATTGGCTACTATGAATAATGCCACTATAAACATTTGGCTGTACACGTTTTCATGTGTCCAGAGGCTTTCATTTCTTTTGAACACATACCTAGGAATAAAATTGTTAGGATATGTGGTAACTCCATGTTAGAGGAACTGCCAGACTGTTTCCTAAAGTGGCTGTACCACTTAATGTTCCCATTTACATTCCCAGTTTATGAAGATTCTGATTTCTCCATATTTTTGCCAACACTTGTTATCATCTTTTTTATTATAGCCATCCTAATAGGTATGAAGGGCTATTTCATGATTCTGATTTGCATTTCTCAGACAATTAATGATGCCAACCATCTTTTCATTTGCTTATTAGTCATTTGTATCTTTTCCTTGGAGAAATGCCTATTCAGATTCTTTGCCTATTTTTAATTGGATTATTTGTCTTTTTATTATTAAGTTATGAGAGTTCTTTATATATTCTGGACATAAGTCCCTTTTCGGATATCTGATTTGCCAATATTTTTTCCCATTGGCCTATCTCTTCACTTTCTTGATGGTGTCCTTTGGAGCACAAACATTTTTAATTTTGATGAAATTTTAAAGAAATTCTGTAGCATGGTGTTTTCAACACTCCAGCAGCATGGATCAGCTTTTGATGTCACCTAACTCTCACCCCACTCTTTGACACGACCAGCTCTAAACCCCTCCCATTCATCCTCACATCCCTTCTCTCTTCTTGTGCATTCAGCCTCGAGCCGCACTGCCTTCCTTCCATCTTTGATACACACCAAGCTTTTTCCTACATTTGAATCTTCACATTCACATATCAGTTCAAATATTATTTCCTCAAAGAGGACCCCCCTGCCACCCATCTGAATCACGTCTAGTCATTATCACAATCCCTGTTTGATTTTCCTCATAACACATCTTGGTTGTTTATTTACTTGTATAAATACTAAATTATTCCACCAGATATAAGCTCTATGAGTGTATCTTTTAGGTTATCCATTTTGTTCACTGCTGTATCCTAAGTTCCCAGAATAATGTCCACCACTTAGTAGGTGCTCAATAAATATTTGTTGAATGAATGAATGAATCCTCTAGCCCAGACATTATGCTAGGGACTAGTGGCAAAAGAGTAAATAAGACAGATCCCTGAACATGGGTAGTGTCCCATTAGAAACATGCCTTGTGATCAGTGTTCTTAGAGGAGAATGTTTGTTTGTTTACAGGAAATTCATTGGCAGGATGAATTCATTTTTTCATTAAGTTTTTAATTTTAATTCCAGTATAGGTAACATACAGTGTTATATTAGTTCCAGGTGTACAATGTAGTGATTCAACAATTCTCTACATTACTCAGTGCTCACCAGGATAAGTGTACAGTTATTTTTTAACTCTTTATTTGTAAATAAACTTAAAGATATGAATACTCAGCACTCCTTCAATCAACTTTATTCTCTTCACAAATACACTTTTCATTGCATTTCACTCCTGCTAACTCACCCTGGAAAAATTTTTATATTTTCACTAGTAGCCAAGAGAAGTGAATGGACCTGATTATACTCTCTTTCTCCATATCTACTGACTGATAAATCGTAATCATAATCATAACAATGCTTTGTAGAAAGTTTGCTGCCCTATCCTAAGGAGGGAGGAAAAAGCTACCCTCCTCTTCTGATCTATTTGGAAGACGCAGGCTGGCCACTGGGGGGCTGGGTTTCAGTCCCAGCTTACCTAGAATTAGCTGTGTAACCTTAAGTGTTGTGTACTTTTTTAGGCTCCAATTTCCTCCCCAGTGATTTTCAGTTGATAAGATCTTTGCTACTTAATTTATGGAATTTGTGTGAAGATCAAATAGGGTAGATGTCAAAATACTTCTAGCTCCTCCGGGGCAGGGAATGTGCTATAATCAACTCAGTATCTCCAGGGACACCCAGATTTAATCAGGTGCAAAAACACTTCCTAAAAGACTCCATCCTCTTAATGCACCTCCACACCCTTGCCTAGCTCATTTCCTCTGCCTGGAATGACATTTGCTTTCCCTTTTCCCCCTAACTCCCTTCCATGCCTCAGTGTTTGTATAAACATCCTTTCCCAGTAAGGAATGCTGGTTTTGAATATTCTGGGCTTCAGAATCTTCAATGTAACAGTCATATGGGGATTAACAGCTTCAAGATTAAATAGGAATCACCAAAGATATACTCTGTAACTGGAACCACACATACATACGCTATAACAAACTAGAAAGGACATTCAGTGTATTTCCAAGTTTCCAAGTCCTAAGAAACTGGTGATAATTCTTAACCAGCATGGCCAAGAAGTGTCTACTATGAGCTGGTCTACAGCATTCTTTTTGCAGTCTCTGTGATGCTTCCGTCTGCCCATACTGCTCACCTTCTTTGCCGCTGGCATTAATATATTCACTCCTTGCTTCAGAATTTGTTTCAGGAGTTCTTAGCTTTAGCTTATGCATGTTTTCAAGCCATGTACAGTTGTGCAGATTGTGCACTGCAAAGAAGCACCCACTTGGTGGGTGTGGGGGAGTGGTAGGAGTAGGGGCTAAAATCCAGCCTGTCCCGTGCTAGCCATGCCAGGAAGAAGAGGTGTCTTTTCCAATCTGTCCACCAACAGGCATCAACATTTGGTGATTTATAGCATATATAAGCTTGCAGAAGCTCTCTTTCAAAATACCAAGCGAAGGGGCGCCTGGGTGGCGCAGTCGGTTAAGCGTCCGACTTCAGCTCAGGTCACGATCTCGCGGTCCGTGAGTTTGAGCCCCGCGTCGGGCTCTGGGCTGATGGCTCAGAGCCTGGAGCCTGTTTCCGATTCTGTGTCTCCCTCTCTCTCTGCCCCTCCCCCGTTCATGCTCTGTCTCTCTCTGTCCCAAAAATAAATAAACGTTGAAGAAAAAAAAAATAATAAAAAAAAAAAATACCAAGCGAACAAGTCAGTCTTTATCAATTAATTTCTACAGAAGACTGCATCCCTCCAAAACTCTGGGTAAAGGGGACAGCTCCAGGATGCTACCTCTCCCTAACCTTGATGGTTCTGGTCCAGGGCCTGTGGTCTCTCTCCTCTTGATCCATGTTCACCATCCTGAAAGAGGAGGAGGCATTTTGAAGCCTTTTGGTGAAATGTTCATTTCTTGATCGGGATCTGAACTGCGAACTAGTCTCTCTCTGGGATAACACTTCCCCTCTTTCAGAAGTCACTCATCCCAGTGGTAGCGACGGGGGTTGACGACAGTTAAATTATGTGATGCTCAATATCCTGGGGGCTACACATGCATTACAGTGAAAATGTACCTCTAATGAGGAGGGCCACTCAATCTGTGCATTCTACCCCTGTTGTCTTTGCTCTGAAATGTTTACAAGGCATTTCACAATATTGGGGTGAGGAGTAAAATAACTGTAGAGTGTCTCACTGAGTGCCAAAGAGGAATGAAACCATTTGCAATATTTTTTCAATATTTCTCTAAGACCTTAATGAAATGTGAAGTTTAAAGGCGCTCTACGCAATTGAAATATACATGATGTTCTTTAAGGAAATTTTCATAGAAGCCAAAAACTCCATCATCATTAAAATTAAATATGTTGTCATTAAAAGAAGTGGGCTTCTTGTAAATGCACTGAAATGTAAAAATATTACTTCAAACTTAAGTCCAACGCACCACAAAAGGAGGAGGAGATAGCTGTTGAAAGGATTAATAATGAGAAATGACAGAACTGTTTTATATCTATTTCTTTGTGTTTCCCCCCTTCTCCTTAAAAGCAAAGATACTATAACAAAAAAATTTAATAAGTAAAAAATACATTTTAAATGAAAAACCATGATTAACTTATTAAGAACCATTAAGTATATAATTACAAGGATTCTATTACATTAAGATACCAATTTCTTTAAAGCCAGAAATAATACCTACTGAAACTTTAATTATTTAAATGAGAAGAGAAAGAGGCATGTTATCTTCTCTGACAAAGATTAAAATCAATTTAATTGCTTCTCTGCTGCCTTGACATGATTCTTGCTGTGAGTCAAGCAACCAAAAAGGGAAATTAATACCGCAGCTGTTAATCAAGTGATATCCGTGCACTCCGTTTGATTACATCAGGGAGAAAACCATTGCTACTCGACTGACTCGGGCGTCCGCACCACTCTGTGTTGTTGGTAGGAGCTGGGTGAGCTCTGAGAGGTGCTGAGTCTGGACTTCATTTTTAGAGCCTGTGAGAGCCCCGGCTGAGTTACGGCCTCAGGAAATTGCAGGTTGCTGTGTTTAAGCCTGAGTAAAGGCAGTTCTATCAAGACAGGGGGGTCTGTTCCAAATTAAATTCACCCTCTGGCTCCTGATTCTACTGTCCACAGTGTGAAGTACAAAGAAACACAAGGGCATAGCAGGGCTGGAAAACGAAAAAGAATATGAGAATGTGGCTAAGAGGGATGCTTTTTTGCCTGTAGAGCATAACAATATATTTTTCAAGGTAGACAGCAGCAGTTTCTAGAGGTCAGACAGCAACTCTCTCACCCGAATTAGAACATGCATTTGAAAGCAAGGTACAGTGGCAAGTGATGTGCACCTCAAGGCCCTAAATGTGCCGGTTTAAAAGCAGGGCTTTTGTGAAACACCAGCACCGAGCGAGCATCCAGCAGCATCCACACTTGGCAAACTAATGTATCTGATTGTAAGAAAATGGTATTGTGAAATATTTATGAGGCTGGAAATACAAACCAGTACCCTGCCTCATCATGTCTTATCAGCCCTTGTTAACTTTACAGATGATGAGAGGCACCGGAATAACCGAGGTTGTCGAAATGAATGGATCTCAGGCACTCTGCACCCGTGGAGCTCAGTCTCATCAAGAGCCCTTTTTTCAGGAACTTTTAACCCTCCTCTTCCTGTTTGCCTTCTCTTGTCAGAGACAGAGGTGGATAATAACAAGCCTCAAGTAAATACATTCCGGGGGAGAAAATTCTCCTGAGGACCTTCCCTTTTCTCCTGGATAGGAGAAAACCTCCAGTTAGGGAGCGAGAAATTCAGTTCACAGGAAAAAGTTTTCGATCTGGGCTGTTTAGTATCCCTGCCAGTGACATGAAAGGATCCTGAGGAAAGTGGCCAGCTGGAGGAGAAGCCTGCACCTAGCAGGATATGCAGAAAGGCAGAAACAACACAAAACAAAAATCCCATACTGCCCCCAAAAGATTACTCAACATTGTTTACATTACAGAAAACCCATCATCGGCTCAGGTCAGCCCATAAGATGAGTTAAGATGCCCATCAGCTCTTATTGTAGCTGAGCCCAGTTCACCTGTCCCCGGGATCTGTAGATGACTCTGCCTGGCTCTTTTTCATCAAATACAACTCATCGTACTATATTGGATCACCTTGCTGTTAGCCTGGCACTGTCCCTCCCCATTTCAATTTGACCAAATTGAAACAGATGCCCAGAGGCCACAGAGATCAAGACTGGTATAACAAAATTTGGAGCCAGTTTCCAAGCTTAAATCAATATTTAACGGTAAGCCCGCTTTTATTTATTTATTTTTTGGCAGGCTTTTACTGGCAAATATCACTTTAAACCGAAAGCCAGAAGCCTTAATTATAACGGATGCCGTTCAGGCTATATTTTGAAAAACAATACCTCATTTGACAAGCCAACCTGGTAGTTTAAGGAATTGTGCTCCCCCAGAATCAGGCAAGGAGAGGAGTGTTATTGCTTTCTGTATCCTTCAAGGATGTATTTAATTACCTCATCTTCAAGCACACACAGACAATTCAAATAGGGGAGAGAGAAGGGGTGGGGGGGAGTGAGAGCCGTTCACGGTCTCAGTCAAACCCGGCGGAAGCCCCGGGCCCACCAGCGACATCAGAGGTACAACATCCCCAAGCCGGCGCAGGAGAAGGATCCGTGGAGAAGCGCGCAGTGGCAATCACTTGCCAAGGCGGAGGAAGATCACCCACAGAACTTACACGCACGGACCTCTGGCTAGCATGAAGACCGGTATGCGTGCTATCCCAGGCGACCTTTGTCTCACCTCTCTGCTCCCCAACACGTGTGGCAAAACTTCTGATGGGTCCACATCTCGACAGCTGGGAAGGAAGTGATATTAGGTCAGAAACATAAACCCCAATGGGCTTGTCAGTTTCAGCAAGCCCAGGCTAGGAATTTTATTTCTTCAGTACAATTTTCGGAATGAGTTGCAGATACCAAAATTCTGTATTCATCTTACCTAATTTGAACAGCGATAGCAAAATAGAAACTGATGATCCACATAAGTTATTATTAAAGATTAAAAAAAAAAAAAAACTATACACGTGCAGGTATACAAAACAAATCCACACCCAACTTAGCAACCAAAACACAGCTCACCAAGAAACAGAAGGGACTCAAAGCCATCATGAAAGGAGAAAAAAAAAAAAAAAAACAGTCCCCACATGGGCACCAAGCCTGTTTCTCCCCCGTCTGCCAGAACAGAGTCAGGAATGGTAGTCTTGCTATGTTGTTTTACAAATGCAGACCAGTCTCCAGCTACCGTTCTCTTCCCTCTAGAAAGTAAAAATTCCACAAAGCTTGTCCCCCTTGAAATGCCACCCCCAGCCCCCACCCCCCTCCGCTATCTCCCCACCAGGGCCTTCCAGAGACTTGATACTTGCCTTTTGCTTCTCCTCCAGCTCTGGGCAAAATGACTTCCGCAGGATCTCTTCCAGACACTCCTATAGGTTCTCACACCCACCTCTGCGAGCAAACCGAGGAGGGGGGACCCCCATCTACATTGACACAAACACAGTTGTAGGGCTTTAATTTCATTTCATCGACTTCCCTTTGCAGCTTGTCTGTCTCTCCCATGTCTGCCGCCACAGCAGGAGATTAAAAGAACAGAGGAGGTAGAGGCTCTTGCGAGAACCACAGGGATTTTGGCAGAACCTTTACAGGAACCATATGGCAGCAACTTTGCAATACAGGAAGCACTTCTAAGGGAGAAGATATTATTATTCCCAAGGAATTTTTCTCACCCGCACAAGGGAATGGAGCACTCCTGCCGCAGGATGGGAGTAATATTTTCTGGAAAGACTGTGTGAATACAGATGATATCTAACTTCCATGTAGCTAGTCATAACAGGTCATCATTATAATGCACAATATATTTTACTAAGCCCCAAACAGAGAAGAGAGTACATGGTATTTCTGATATTCCTAGCTATTAAAGCCTGCTTAGAGCACGTTTTACTCATGTGTGTAATGAAGGGACTGAACAAGATAAATCGTTTTTAATTTTTTTCATCTTTGTCGTAGACTCCTTTTTCAATTAAAATCTGATTCAGAAGAACTTCAGTACAGGAAACGAGATAATGACAGAGCACGGGTGGCTGAAGCAAGGGTCAAAGGTCTGGGTCTGCTTTCTTAGGCTCCGCCTCACTTTTTTTCTTCTTTCCTTCCTAGTTCTTCTTTTTCTTTTTCTTTTTCTTTCTTTTTGTTTTCAAGGGTCTTCCCTAGATTATTGTTCTTTGCTAATTTTCAACAGGTAGAACAAAGAGAGAAACATGCTTTACTCTCCGGGTAAAGAAAGACGAGCTATGTGTTACATTGCCTCAGTGGGTCCATGACTTTGCAACCAGCCCTGCAGTCCACGTGGACCCCGGACTTCTCTCTTAACAATCCAGTGGGCAGAACTGAGCTAACAGCCAGGACCAGCACTCCTAGAGGACGTCCCCAGGACACTGCCTCCAGCCCCGGCAGCCATGGAGTCTGTTGTGAATGAGACACAGCCACGGAGGAGAGATTAAAAAGTGGCTAAGAAGGGCATCACCAACCCCAAACCACCTCCAATCTAGAGCTCCCAGAATGCATCAGAACTCTCATACCACAGGGATGCCTGTATATGGTTTGAATTTTAAAAATATATTTAAATTTGAGTTCACTCTTGATGTAATGTGTAGCGTTTACTTCTTAGGTCATCTTGAGTTCCTTCCCCCTCAGTTATTTAGCCCTAAACAAAAGAACCCTCCAGACACTTTAATGGAAATGCTCCTCAACCAAGGGAACCCAACATTACTCTTGGTCAGATGGAAGCAATTGAGAAAGAATATAAAAATGTCCTTTAAGTGTCATCACTATAGATACATATGTGCTTATTATTATTCATCGAGAACATATTCTAGAACAAGCAGTAATATAACTCACTTTCTCTCAGCATAAGTTAGGATGCTTTTAAGAAATAAGCATTCCAAGGGGTGCCTCGGTGGCTTAGTCGGTTAAGCGTCCAACTCTTGATCTCAGCTCAGGTCTGGATCTTAGGGTCATGTGTTCAAGCCTCACGCTGGGCTCCACATTGGGCATGGAGCCTACTTTAAAACAATGGGAAACAAAAGAGAGAAATAAGCATTCCAAACATACTAGGAAGAGATACAGAGGCAGTTCATTTCACAGGAAATATGGAAGACCAGTTCTAGTCTTCTATGACCACTGTTAGATTTTTGGAATAGTGTTAGTTTCCCTTTCAAGGTGCAGTTTTAGAAGCCATCACTTTTTCCTGGATGAAAAACCTTGAGTATTTTATAGGTAAAATACTTTCAGAATTCCTCATCTGAAAATGTGACGATGACAATGATGATGGTGATGTCTATAACTAGTCTAAATATGCTTCACAGGAGGAGGAACTGGTGCTTGAGTACTAGCCAAGGAACCTAATTCTAACACCTAGATTCTGGAACTGTTGGAGTTAGCATTAGACCGAGATGTACTGGATGCCTAGCAAGCTAACAACTTGGTGGTCCTTAATCGGGTATTATTTTTTAAAAAATAGCTGTTTGACACTATCTATGGAAGATGTTGAGGGCTGAGATGAGAAAGAACTGCTGTCTATCAAATTCTATCTCCCCTTTTTTCTTAGCAATTGGGCTCTTGCTAAACTACTCAAGAATTTACCTTCAGTGTCTCATCACCTTCCCTCCAAAGCAGCTTCTCTGTGGTTTCCTAACCCTGAGAGGAGTTCCAGAAATATCATTTTTCTCTATCTTTTCATATTTCCACGGATAGTTTAGAGCCCAGGAATATTCTAGTGCTCTGAATTACTGACACCCTAGGAAATGACCCAGCTGACCTCCCAATTTAAGCTGAGTCTGGGTAGGGCTTCCTCCCTGACAGCTTCCCAGCCGACCTGACCTTCCAATTTAATTTGATTCTGGGTGGGCTGTCCTACCAGATCAGTCAAATAATACCAGAGTGAGTGGCAACCAAAGTCTTTGGTGTTGGGGGTCCAGCAGAGACAAACAATAGCAGCTAATATATCAAAAAGACGAAAGCAGGGTTGAAAGTGAAAAGGGATATTCTTTGGAGCTGAGACTTGGGGACTAGAACCAAACAGAAGCAGGGCAGGCATGAAGGAGGAGGATCCTGGAACCCGGGTCTTGGGCAATGGCAGTAGATGACTGTGCCATGTCTTGGCACTTACCAAGGACTCCAAGGTGTATCACTGTGTTAGGGCAACTTAAAGGTCGAGGAAGACAGGCTCTATAGTTGGGAGAACTCAGTAAGATAATGCATGTAACGGTTCCTGCGTTTAGTGGGCCACTGCTCTGTAATTAATAAGCAAATGCTGTGATTACTACCTCTGCTGCCCTAATTACCAATGTCTCTCAAGTACAATTTGCTTGACATTCTTAGTCCTCTCAGAGAATGCAATTCATGCTGGAGAAAGACATCAGTAAAGATCATGAGACTGGGATTCAGAGAGAGCCAAGTTCAAATTCCAACGCCATCACTCAGCAGCTACGTGAACTTCATCAATTCATGTAACCTGGAGCCTTGATTTTTCTATTTTTCAAAAATGGGGATGACAATAATGATTTGAAGGGATGTTGTGGGATTGAAGGCAGCATTCATAAAGGGTCTGGCCCAGAAGAGTGGTCAGTTAATGACATTCATTAGTGTTATTATTTTCATATATTAAGTTGAAACTGTCAGTCTGGGGGTCTTCTTTCTGGGTTTGAAAGAAACGAATGAAGTTTTCCCACTTATATAATAATTAAAAAAAAAAAAAAAAAAGGACAGTTCCTTGGGCACTCCTGCCAGGACAGGAGGTTATCAATGCAAACCCATTAACATACGCATTTTTTAAGTATTCAGATGATAGCAAGAAAACGCCAGGGTCAGCACAAAGTAGCTTCAGTTTACTCTTGCAGTGTCCTTTCTTAAGGGGTGGAGGGAAGTGGGGAGGCCTAAATGTCCAGCGGGTTTGATTAATGGTGTGTTGTTGTTTTTAGAAGAAAAACTTTTTTCTTGACTTGAGATTTTGGGATTTTCAAGTTCTAAATTGACTATCAGTGTCTTCAAAGATTAGAGAAGAATATTTGAACTTCCCAGATTGTGTGAAAAACTGTGGGAGTATTTCACATGTTTGTAGAATGATTAAAAAAAAAAATCTCAGCAAACACTCACTCCTGAGAGACTGACAGAAACATGCTGAAAAGTCGGGTGGAAATCAACACACCCGACACCATCCAGAGACAAACACAGCTTCCAGGAGAAACGCTGGGACAGCAGCGGGTTCTGAGTGAGTCGCTTTTCTCGTGGGTGGAACCAGCGTGCTTTGTGGACAGGCTGCAGAGTACGTGAGCCAAAGCCTTGGAAAATTCACACACAAGCCAGCAATGCAACAGGTTTTGGCTACGCACAGATCCAGCCTCCACGAGGAGTCAAGCACCAAGAGCTGGCACAGAGACACAGCACAGATGTTGGTTGGCGTGGTTTCCCGTTGTGCCCACCCGCCCGATCCTTCGGCACCCTCCTCCGCCCCAGGTGATGCCAGCCGCCTTCCCATCCTCTCCCCGCTCACTCACCCTGTCTCCATGAGGTGTCTCCGTGAGCCCCACAGACGCCTCCCTACTCTCAGACTCCTCTTGCAGAAAGAATGTTTGAAAAAAAAAATTTATGTATGATTTCCCTGCCCCATGCAGCCCTGTATGCTTCATGTACGATAATTTGAAAAACATGATTCTCAGAGACTTCACTTCTCTGGAAAAAGGGAGTGTAGTGTGCTAAGGAAGGTAACTGAGGTCCCACAGGGGCTCCTCATCATGCTCCCTCGCACATGGGAAACTTGAGTTCACCATTCGATTTTCCACTTGCAGCAGCGAACAGATGTCTCCCCAGCCCCCTCTGCTAAAAACCTAGAGCGCTGCATCCCAGGAACAGATTAAAGTAGTAGCTGGAAGCATACCCAAGCTGAGGATTTACAGATGTTCAATAAAACCTGCAAACAGCCCACCAAAATCCCCGCGCAGAGCTGGAAAGGGCACACATCCAGCTCGGTTGGAAATGGGTCCACGGTGAGGGAAGGAAACAAGAATCATAGCTGTTCCAGATATGCATGTCACAAAGGATGCTGAGGAACTCAAGCGCATCCTTCAAGAATAGCAACTTTTCAATCCATCACAGTCTGTTTCTGAACTTCAGAATTCTCATTTCGCCATTAAAAATGTTCAGTTTAGTCAGAGGATATTCCAGATATCGTACTGCCAAGGAACAGTGAGATGCACAAGCCGAGGCAAGCTTGGCGTGAGGCAGAGAACGCAAATACCCTGAGAAGTCGCCGGGTAGCCGATCGGAGGGCTCGGCACCAAACAGGCAACCCCGTCTTATTATCTATCCTTCTCTCGATTGCCCTATTTGGACACATTTGTAAAAGCATTGCTCACCCCCACGCCTTTATTCCCCAAATACAGCAGATGGCTTCAGTGCAGTGTTTCAAATCAGATGTTAGGCAGAG